GTTCTGCCCATCGTTCCAGTCGTCTCTCCTGCGAGTGAATCGCAGACCACTCCTTCTCCGCTATGGTCTCACTAACCGTTGTTGACCTTTTCCCCCAGTTTCCTTAATAAGTCTAAATAACTGCCTACTGTTACCAATCCCCGCTGCCTTTTCCATCTCTTTAGTCTTCACTGCCTACTACTGTTCGCGGTCGTTGAGTAGACTTTTTCTCAATCTACTTTTAAGTTGTGCTCACTCTTCATTGTACTCAGAGCCTTCAGGAGTGCGTTTACGCCCATCCATTAGTTCGGAAGAAGCTGCTGATATCCACTGACTCTTTTTAGCCACTCTTTCGGAGTCGGCTACGGTCTTCAGTGCTGCTTTCAGAGCAGACTGGAGATGGCACCAAACTTCTTCTGAGTGAGTGATAGTGTTCTGTTCCGATAACTGCCTAGCCAATTGTTCACTGAACACGGCTTTGGTGTTTTCCTTGTCGGACTACACTCGTAATCATTTTGTTGCCAAATTTTTCTCACGTCCATTGAGACGCAGGCATACACGCACTCGGACCGACGCGTGATCGCTATCTAAACACATACTCCAGAAGGAGCGGCAGTCTTCCATCGATCCTCTCCAACGATGACCGATAGCAATGTGGTCTATCTGTGTCTATCGCCGAGTTGAGCTTGATGGGCGCCACATCAGACAGTGTCTTTCTTTATGTCTGAAATTTGTGCTAGCTAAAAATAAGCGGTTATCTGAGCACATTTGTAGTAGGCGATCACCGTTATCTGTTCGTTCACCCGGGATTCCGAAAGTGCCACCTAAGTGCCTTTCTGCCTCACTCAGTCTACCCACCTATTCATTGAGATCACCTGCAACCACCACCACGTCTCAACGTTTGGCTTTCGAAAGGAAGCTAGACAGTTTTCGGTAGAACTCGTCCTTCACTGCAGTCAGTGGGTGCGTAAGCAGAGATTACAAAGAGACAGCGGAGATTTTCAGCATCAGCATGGCACTGCTGGTCATACAAGGGAAACACCTTACTGCTGTCACACCCCATCTAGTTAGCAGCAGTACGACTTCGCCCTCAGACCCGCATCATAGTGTAATAATTTACACCACAACGGTAACTGCTTTTCGTGTAACCACCATCCAACAGACCTTCCTGGTATGGTAGGACCTCGAGGGAACAAGTGTTCCACCAGAAGAATAGGTGGTTGGGTCATTGTGATGTGCAAGCCCAACCACCACGTCAAGGTCGGGAAGTTAATTAATACAAAGCTCTTGATCTGGGTTACAACGTAGCACTTGAGTAAAATGTCGATTGAAATGGAGGAGACGATACGACTGAGAATGCTTGTATGAGTTTGCTTTTTTCCTTTCTTTGATCCATTATATCAGTAGAGTGCTCCGAGGCATGAAATAGTACTATGATCGAGATACCAGTTTTATACATTGTCATGTAAATTCTGCAATTCTTTTTCATCAGGGTCATTGGACGGCAGCTGGGCATCAAAACCAACACTGGAGAGCCTGAACTGTTGCTGTTATGAATAAAACAGTCGCTCATGAGCTGACTGTCGAGGTTGTGGCCATGGGTTCATCGATTACACATCGTGTAGTGTCGCAATTCATGAGATGAGAATAGGAAACATCACTGCATTTAAGAGACATTTGTGTTCGACTAATTATTTCGTTGGAAGCGTTTTTGTTTTTTGTTTGGTTACAGTCAGCTGCGATAATTTGTTCGGCGATTTCGTTATCTACATTTTCCTAAAAGCCGATTCACACAAGCACAGTTCTGCTCCAAAACATATCTATGAATATTCGACAGTTGCCATCACAAACAGAATCAACATGGAACCTTGGACAGAAATGCCTTGGTTCTCACTGCCACACTTTTCAGTAGTGTATGGCTCGAATAAGAGTAGACAAAGAATGTTATCAGATCAGAAAAGAAAGAGTTCGTTGATCAAATTATTTACAGTATTCAAGATCTGGAAGACGTCAAAGAGTCAATGTATCTGCGCTTTTGCGATCATTTTTCAAACATTTCACTAACGCTGTCCAGCAACTGATTGCTATGGTCTCAAGACTCCTAACCAGGCATTCAACACCTTACACTGCTTAGACCAACAGTTGCAGAGTTCATGGACTGGTGTCACGTCATGGTATGACCACCTTGGGCCTTCTTACAACCCAGTCCTACTCCGGCCAACACTGCACGTCTAGGTAGGTGTGGTGGCTAGGAATGCATAACACATATCGAAGTCACCAGAGTCATTGAAGGTTCTCATCCTCACCGACTGACTTGTCTACCTTGCCTGATACACTCCACCTAACCTTGACATTGCTGATACAGTGATTCCACGATAAGTGAGCAATGGTGCGAAAACAGTTCTGATCAAAACGTGTAGTCCCTGCCTATATTTCATTGTCAGCGGTCATTTCTCACAATTGTATGACAGGACAGAACGTACTTCAGCGCAGGTACTCGCCGTGCAATAGATAATCGGATATCTCTCCAGTCGGCACCAGAGTTGACGCAAGTTGGTAAGTGCGAAAATGGTTACATACCCTCCAGGGAGTAGACCTTTTATGTGAAGTTGCTTAATTAGTGTCATATACTTACTCTGTACCAACCTCACAGTCGTACATTACCTCAAAGCCTCTCGGTCAATAGAGTCGAATACTACCTTGAGGTCTAGAAATATGGTTAGTTTCAGCCACCAGTATTTATTATTATTTTTTTCCCTTGGGTTCCTAGTGGAACATAGGGCTTCAGTAGCACGTCTCCAGTGCACTCTTTTCTCGTCAATCTTTTGGACCTGGCACCATGACTGCCCACAAGCTTTCATTTCTTCCTCACATGATGTCCATGTCACCTCGACTCGGACGCCCAACTCGTCATTTCCCCTATGGACTCCACTTGAGGGCCTGGTCTGGGGCGGGATGTCCCCAAATGGTTTTCTCAGTGTGCGCCCAATCCATCTCCACTTCCTTCTGCATATTTTTGGGTAGTAAGTTCTTGGTTGGTTCGTTGCCAGGCAGCCAGAGTTCCTTGTTGCTTGTTCTTTCTGGACATCTGATCTTCAGTACCGGGTGAGCATATGCGGCAGCTGTTGATGAATGTCTGTAGTTTGTTGGAAGTGCTTTTTGTGACTCACCAAGTTTCTGAACCATATAGTCGCACTGACTTACTTGACATTGGTGTTAAAAATCGGGATCTTGTTCTTTGTGCTGAGTGCAGTAGATCTGCACACTGATTTCAGATTAATGAAAGCCTGTCTTGCTTTTCCGATCCTGGTTTTGACATCCTCGTCTGTGCCGCCTGTAGTTGAAATGATGCTGTCTATGTAGGTGAAAGAGACTACTTCCTTTCGATTTCTCCCGTTAATGGTGATTGGTGCTTGTTGTTCATGCTGTTGTTGGTTGGTATCTTCATCACCTCCGTCTTCTCTACATTCGTTTGAAGTCCCGTCTCCGTAGCCCTGCCTCTTCTGTCAACTTGTTAGTTTTCGAGTTTGTGCGACAAGACATTAGACATAAGTCATCGGTGAAATCCAAATCTTCGTCTGTAATCTTTTCATCGGTCAAACAGCGTATGCCCATCTTCTCGCTCACGAGCTGACTGTGTCACGAAGACTCCTTACGCACTGAATCTTGTCGTCTCGGGATCCTCAACTAGGGAGTCTAAATCTCCCCACATGGCTCAAATCAACGCTGAGAGACTTTATGAAGTGATGGCAGGTCCCAGTTTGGCCACCCCTAACCGTACGCCAACTTTCCCTAGTATGACACGTCAGGGTAGGTGGTGGGGTCGGCATGCGTGACTCCAACATGGATCAGAAGCTGATTCCTGCAAACGCAAGTAATACTGCAAAGACATATTTGGTCGGAACCCTGTAATCATTTCATGTTGTGTGAGTGCTAATACAAGTGTATATTACTGTTATTTAGCTGGTGGAAACTGTTTGGCAGAAGTGATTTCTCGATAGGGCTTGGGATTATATACATTGCAATTACAATCTTCATTCCTTTAGCATCATGCTGAAATTCAAGCGAATAATACCAAGCGTGGATCATTGATTTCATAATTCAATTCCAAAATTAGCATAGTATTCTAATATATCGCTGATACCATAAGTGGAGTAAGTTGGCAAATGCCGAAATAACTTCTTATATGCCGGCTAAGCTTCTACCAACAATCAACATATCCGGGCTGATACAACTTTTCAGGTAAGCGTAGTGGTCAACATGTTTTACCTCTTCACTCCCTATCCTTAAGTTAGACGTCGACAGACACTTTCAATTTGATAGGTGCAAAGGCGACGCGAGACAAATATTCTAAGATTTTTGCTGGAGGCGGTAAGAATACTTCGCATTTTTTAAGTATCTTAGCTAAACAGGCCAATTAAAAGGTCAGTGTAAGCAGTTAACGTTCTAACATTGCATGGAAGTTTGATTTTCAGCTCATCATTATCAGTAGTAACTTAAACCTTCCTACACAACTCAGATCAAAAGTTACATTGGTTCCATCATTTAATATCATTACTTCAATCTGATTAACATGGATTCCTACCTCCAGTGCAAACTTTCCTGATGGTCAGAAAATATCTACAATAATCATGTATCCCAACATATGAACTCTGTATCTCCACAAAAATGTCAAGAAACCATTCCATATAATAAACGACATCAATTATTTAAGTAAATATTATAGATTACAGAATGAAGCCAGGAGGCAGTCAGCAGAGGACCAATTACTTCAATAATATCAATATGGATTACAGATAGTCTCGTCAATAAGCACAGTGTATGACTAGATTTTCGCTCGTTTCAAAGACCACTATCCTGGGGGATAAAGCTTGTAGAGGAAAATACATTTCAGTATGTACACAAGAGGAAAGCAGAATAAATGGGTTTACCAAATAGTTCCTTTTCAATCGAAAAAACGATGCCGAACATTGAATGTGACGGTACGATACAAACAAAAGAGAGGAAAGTAGGAGAAATATCTACACCTTATCAGAAGCAGACATGGTTTTCTCGACCAGATGTTTCGGTTGGACAACCGTTGCATTACTCGGACGTATCGGTACACGATCAATGTGATTGCGATTGAAATGAAATGCCGGAACTACCCATGTACCGCAAACACAAGGTTCACCTGGAAAAAATAATTGCAAATCGGTTAGTTTTTGATTTTGCAGCACTACACTTGAAAAGATCTGCTCGAAAAAAAAATGAAATTCCAACTGAGGCATCAATCGCTCTATTTGTTAAATATTTCAAAAGTAAATTTCACAATGAGATTGCATACGATTCACCAGAAGTGAATGTGACATGCATGCCCAATCAGTGTGTAACACATTGCACTGCGCTACCCAAATAGTTCTCAACCTGGAAAAAGGCGAATACTGGTCAGACCAAAAGCTGGCATCAGTTCACGAAGTGTGCCAACGAGAGGTGAGGCGAACAGCAATTAACAAAGTATAACAAGGTGTCATTTCCACTTCACATAACTAAATTAATAAACAAAAAAATTATCAGCAAGAAATTGTACTGATATATTCCGATTACGAATTCACTAACTTGACCCACTGATACCTCTAAAATTACCCATATGTAACCAATATGCTTACACTAATAAGCACACAAAACACCACCTTTCGAAGACTCACCAGTAATCATCACCGATCGTTCATTCATACCACACATCACAACGGAATGAAACAACTCCCATTCACCAGTCAACTTGGAAAAACATCACAAACAAGTAATTTGATCGACCTATTCTTATATGACTGTAGGCAAACGAAGTTAACAAATTTAACTCATTCCTACTTGTACTCAGTCGATGAGGATGGTGGAGTCATCAGTCGATAACAACTTTGACCACCAGTTGTAAAAGCAATCAATTCTGAGTCAGGAAACAACAATTATTACGCTTTTCCCCCTATCCTTACTGAACACAACTAACACCTGCTACCATGATATGGTACTCAGGCATGCCTATCACAATCACCCAACAAACTACTCCTGATGAAAAACTTGTCTCCTAGATGTCTTACCATATCACACACGTCTGTTGGATAGTGAAGGTAAGACGAAAAGCAGTTATCGTCCGAGTGTAAATCCCAACTACATCATGAGACTCCGAGGGCACAGCTGTACTACCGGCTGGATAGAGTGTGACTACACATGACCAGAAAAACCATGCTCTTGATATCTTCACTATGGAAGAAGAGGGATGAAAACAGGTTGGCCCGAAAACATAGCACACTCATTTCTGTCTTCCACCGCATATCGGTGCCCAAGATAAAGGTTTCTCGTACCCGATGTTACAGAGATCAAACTTCATCCAAACAATCCAAAAACCGCACAGGTAACAAGCATAAAGCCGTCACACGAAACTATTCCCTCCTCTTCCTGAAGTAACTCGTCAAAACTAATCCCACGGCATAGGCAATCAGGAACCACAAACACTAAACACACATACATCCAGTAGTATACAAAAAACCCAACAAAATGTAAATTACTCTCCTCATATCTATCTCCTCTCTTCCCTTCACCTCCTGATACAAATATTAAACCTCTTGCAACTTCCTCAACATATTACTCTGATACCATTGCCAAACAACCAGGTCAACGAAACACCATTCCTAGTTTCCGATGCCAATAAGGAAAACAGGCATCACTTCACAAAACTATGCATCCTCGAGCAATGGATGTATCGACGCCACTCCTGAGACACACATGCTGCATCTGAGTGTAGCGATTCATTCTCCCTCACCTGACCAGCGTAGTGAGTCTGAAAAATTCACTTTCAGACAATCCAGCTACCAAATAGCCAGCTCCCATGGATTGGCAGTTGCAGGCATAGCATTGAGTTGTGCAGCAGAGAGAACATCTCACGACTGGATACCAGTCAACAGCCGTCTGTCTATTATCCTAATGATGAATGAATTTGGAGGAACTAGCTAAGATCATGAGAGTTACCAATGCCTATTTGTTATCTCCACCTCCGCATCCAACAACTGCAGTTCAGATTAAACATGAGACGAATCCTATCATAGGCTGTCAGTTCTGTTTCACAAAACAGAACTAACAGACATGGTTACAGAAGCAAGTGGGTTTGATGCTCAAGTTGGAGAGTTGAGTCAGTCAGAAAGGCATCTAGGAGGTATGTACGGAATCCAGTCCCAACGAACCAACAACTGTGACAGTCGGTGGTAATCGTATTTTGAAAAGGTTGTTTCAAAACGGAAGCGATGGAAAGCAACAGGATCTGACGTCTTGAAACCTGAGACTTTTAAGGAAGGAGGTGGATAAATTACTGATTAGAGTAACTGAGGTACTACGTGTTGTATGGGAATCGGCTTTCGTCACATCAGACTAGTCTACTTCATTGATTATTTTAGTTTATAAGTAAGCAAAGAAGTATGATTGTGTCAACCTGACTGAAATCACTTCCAAGACTCTCGGATTTATTTATGGTTATCCGATGCTTAAGTGGTGCTCAAAAACAGCTCAGTTGAGGAATTTAAGCAGTTTTAAGACCTGGTGAGTGTGCGTCGATCCGATTTTGACCCTGCCGTAGGTTTTTGAATCTCAGTGCGGATCAAATTGCAACGCTACGCATCATCATTGAACAGAGTAAAGAATGGCAGTCAACTCAACTCGACCTCAACTTTATCGACTTTTAAAAGGTCTTCGACGGCGTCGACTGAGAGGTAATTTGGTAGTTGCTTCAACACTATGGAGTGCCACAAATCTTTATCAACCCCATTCAACAGCTATATGATGACGCCACATTGCCAAGTGATCCACAATGGAAAGCTCAGGGACGCCTTTGAAGTGTAGACAGGGGACAGGAGTAAGACAAGGCTTCCGCCTACAACACCCACAATCTTCCTGATTGTGGCGGACTCGACTGCATCATGCAACAAACCGTGAGGAGCGAGAAGATGGGCATACGCTGTTTGACCGATGAAAAGATTACAGACGAAGATTTGGATTTCACCGATGACTTATGTCTAATGTCTTGTCGCACAAACTCGAAAACTAACAAGTTGACAGAAGAGGCAGGGCTACGGAGACGGGACTTCAAACGAATGTAGAGAAGACGGAGGTGATGAAGATACCAACCAACAACAGCATGAACAACAAGCACCAATCACCATTAACGGGAGAAATCGAAAGGAAGTAGTCTCTTTCACCTACATAGACAGCATCATTTCAACTACAGGCGGCACAGACGAGGATGTCAAAACCAGGATCGGAAAAGCAAGACAGGCTTTCATTAATCTGAAATCAGTGTGCAGATCTACTGCACTCAGCACAAAGAACAAGATCCCGATTTTTAACACCAATGTCAAGTAAGTCAGTGCGACTATATGGTTCAGAAACTTGGTGAGTCACAAAAAGCACTTCCAACAAACTACAGACATTCATCAACAGCTGCCGCATATGCTCACCCGGTACTGAAGATCAGATGTCCAGAAAGAACAAGCAACAAGGAACTCTGGCTGCCTGGCAACGAACCAACCAAGAACTTACTACCCAAAAATATGCAGAAGGAAGTGGAGATGGATTGGGCGCACACTGAGAAAACCATTTGGGGACATCCCGCCCCAGACCAGGCCCTCAAGTGGAGTCCATAGGGGAAATGACGAGTTGGGCGTCCGAGTCGAGGTGACATGGACATCATGTGAGGAAGAAATGAAAGCTTGTGGGCAGTCATGGTGCCAGGTCCAAAAGATTGACGAGAAAAGAGTGCACTGGAGACGTGCTACTGAAGCCCTATGTTCCACTAGGAACCCAAGGGAAAAAAATAATAATAAATACTGGTGGCTGAAACTAACCATATTTCTAGACCTCAAGGTAGTATTCGACTCTATTGACCGAGAGGCTTTGAGGTAATGTACGACTGTGAGGTTGGTACAGAGTAAGTATATGACACTAATTAAGCAACTTCACATAAAAGGTCTACTCCCTGGAGGGTATGTAACCATTTTCGCACTTACCAACTTGCGTCAACTCTGGTGCCGACTGGAGAGATATCCGATTATCTATTGCACGGCGAGTACCTGCGCTGAAGTACGTTCTGTCCTGTCATACAATTGTGAGAAATGACCGCTGACAATGAAATATAGGCAGGGACTACACGTTTTGATCAGAACTGTTTTCGCACCATTGCTCACTTATCGTGGAATCACTGTATCAGCAATGTCAAGGTTAGGTGGAGTGTATCAGGCAAGGTAGACAAGTCAGTCGGTGAGGATGAGAACCTTCAATGACTCTGGTGACTTCGATATGTGTTATGCATTCCTAGCCACCACACCTACCTAGACGTGCAGTGTTGGCCGGAGTAGGACTGGGTTGTAAGAAGGCCCAAGGTGGTCATACCATGACGTGACACCAGTCCATGAACTCTGCAACTGTTGGTCTAAGCAGTGTAAGGTGTTGAATGCCTGGTTAGGAGTCTTGAGACCATAGCAATCAGTTGCTGGACAGCGTTAGTGAAATGTTTGAAAAATGATCGCAAAAGCGCAGATACATTGACTCTTTGACGTCTTCCAGATCTTGAATACTGTAAATAATTTGATCAACGAACTCTTTCTTTTCTGATCTGATAACATTCTTTGTCTACTCTTATTCGAGCCATACACTACTGAAAAGTGTGGCAGTGAGAACCAAGGCATTTCTGTCCAAGGTTCCATGTTGATTCTGTTTGTGATGGCAACTGTCGAATATTCATAGATATGTTTTGGAGCAGAACTGTGCTTGTGTGAATCGGCTTTTAGGAAAATGTAGATAACGAAATCGCCGAACAAATTATCGCAGCTGACTGTAACCAAACAAAAAACAAAAACGCTTCCAACGAAATAATTAGTCGAACACAAATGTCTCTTAAATGCAGTGATGTTTCCTATTCTCATCTCATGAATTGCGACACTACACGATGTGTAATCGATGAACCCATGGCCACAACCTCGACAGTCAGCTCATGAGCGACTGTTTTATTCATAACAGCAACAGTTCAGGCTCTCCAGTGTTGGTTTTGATGCCCAGCTGCCGTCCAATGACCCTGATGAAAAAGAATTGCAGAATTTACATGACAATGTATAAAACTGGTATCTCGATCATAGTACTATTTCATGCCTCGGAGCACTCTACTGATATAATGGATCAAAGAAAGGAAAAAAGCAAACTCATACAAGCATTCTCAGTCGTATCGTCTCCTCCATTTCAATCGACATTTTACTCAAGTGCTACGTTGTAACCCAGATCAAGAGCTTTGTATTAATTAACTTCCCGACCTTGACGTGGTGGTTGGGCTTGCACATCACAATGACCCAACCACCTATTCTTCTGGTGGAACACTTGTTCCCTCGAGGTCCTACCATACCAGGAAGGTCTGTTGGATGGTGGTTACACGAAAAGCAGTTACCGTTGTGGTGTAAATTATTACACTATGATGCGGGTCTGAGGGCGAAGTCGTACTGCTGCTAACTAGATGGGGTGTGACAGCAGTAAGGTGTTTCCCTTGTATGACCAGCAGTGCCATGCTGATGCTGAAAATCTCCGCTGTCTCTTTGTAATCTCTGCTTACGCACCCACTGACTGCAGTGAAGGACGAGTTCTACCGAAAACTGTCTAGCTTCCTTTCGAAAGCCAAACGTTGAGACGTGGTGGTGGTTGCAGGTGATCTCAATGAATAGGTGGGTAGACTGAGTGAGGCAGAAAGGCACTTAGGTGGCACTTTCGGAATCCCGGGTGAACGAACAGATAACGGTGATCGCCTACTACAAATGTGCTCAGATAACCGCTTATTTTTAGCTAGCACAAATTTCAGACATAAAGAAAGACACTGTCTGATGTGGCGCCCATCAAGCTCAACTCGGCGATAGACACAGATAGACCACATTGCTATCGGTCATCGTTGGAGAGGATCGATGGAAGACTGCCGCTCCTTCTGGAGTATGTGTTTAGATAGCGATCACGCGTCGGTCCGAGTGCGTGTATGCCTGCGTCTCAATGGACGTGAGAAAAATTTGGCAACAAAATGATTACGAGTGTAGTCCGACAAGGAAAACACCAAAGCCGTGTTCAGTGAACAATTGGCTAGGCAGTTATCGGAACAGAACACTATCACTCACTCAGAAGAAGTTTGGTGCCATCTCCAGTCTGCTCTGAAAGCAGCACTGAAGACCGTAGCCGACTCCGAAAGAGTGGCTAAAAAGAGTCAGTGGATATCAGCAGCTTCTTCCGAACTAATGGATGGGCGTAAACGCACTCCTGAAGGCTCTGAGTACAATGAAGAGTGAGCACAACTTAAAAGTAGATTGAGAAAAAGTCTACTCAACGACCGCGAACAGTAGTAGGCAGTGAAGACTAAAGAGATGGAAAAGGCAGCGGGGATTGGTAACAGTAGGCAGTTATTTAGACTTATTAAGGAAACTGGGGGGAAAAGGTCAACAACGGTTAGTGAGACCATAGCGGAGAAGGAGTGGTCTGCGATTCACTCGCAGGAGAGACGACTGGAACGATGGGCAGAACACTTCGAGGAACAGTTTAACTGGCCTCCAGCCACTACTATTGCGTTGCCCGCTATCCAGTCGAATCCTGAATGGAACATTGAGATAGGCCCCCCAACACTTGCAGAAGTCGAGAAAGCTGTAGGTAACTTGAAACGGGAAAGGGGATCAGGGTCAGACGGACTAACTGCTGAGGTATACAAGGATGGTCGTGGAGTGCTCTTAGTCAGGTTAACGGAAGTGTTAACCAGTATATGAGAATCAAATACGATCCCCTCCGACTGGTCTAAATCACTGATTATTCCAGTCTTCAAGAAAGGCGGGAAGTCCTCCTGTGATAACCACAGAGGAATCAGCCTGACGAACATAATATCTAAAATTCTAGGTTCTATAATTTTTCGACGCCTGAGTGGAGCTCGGGAACAACAAGCCCGAGAAAACCAGGCAGGCTTTAGACCCGGCCATGAGTGTATCCACCAAATATTCACACTGCGCCAGGTTCTGGAACACAGGCACGCTTACCGACGCCCAACAATAGCTGTATTTCTCGACCTGAAGACAGCATTCGACTCCGTTGATCGAGAAGTCTTATGGCAATGTCTCTCACTGAAAGGCGTGCCGAGTAAGTAAATCACCTTATTGAAGGCTCTCTACTCGAAGACTTGTGGGCGTGTTAGAGCCTGTGGTGAGATATCTGGGTAGCTGTACTCGTCGAGTGGTGTTCATCGAGGCTGTCCACTGTCTCCATTCTTATTCAGTTTTATCATAGATATTCTTATAGAGGTCTCCCTCTCGTTACCTGACTACACAGAGGTTGACCTAGTCGCGGGAGAATTTTCGTTAGACCCAAAATATGCAGATGACATATTCCTGTTAGGTGAGGATGCTGACAAGATGCAGAGTCTTCTGAACACTTTGAACGGCAATTTGAGAATGTTTGGGATGCGTTTCTCATCACCCAAATGCAAATTGTTGCTCCAGGATTGGTCTTCAACAGTGCCTCGACCAACAATAGAGTGTGTCGACCGCTTCACTTATCTGGGAGGTAGGATCAGTCCTAGTGGCTCAGTGGCTGACGAAATTTCCACACGAATACAAAAGGCTCGATTGGCTTTTGCCACCTAACGCCACCTGTGGCGCCGCCGTGATACTCGATTGTCTATTAAGGGTCGCGTGTACTGCACAGCAGTCCGCTCTCTTCTACTCTTTGGCTGTGAAACATGTCCATTGAAGATGGAAGATATGAGAAGGCTTCAGGTGTTTGACCACCGTTGCCTTCGTAGTATAGGACGTATTCCATGGTGTCTCCACGTGAGCAACGCAGAAGTCAGGTGTAGAGTTCTAAGGAGAAGAGATAAATCAGTTGACGAGGTTGTGAACCTTCATCGACTGAGATGGTTGGGAGACGTGTTACGTACGCCTAGTCGCCGATTGCCTCGTGATACAATGTTAGCCGAAATTAGTTCAGGCTGGGAAAAGGTATGAGACGGCCAGACTAAAACATGGCATCAATGTATGAAGTCTTTGACTGTTGGTTTGAGCCATGTAAGGCGATGCAGACTAGCCGGTTGGGGTCCGTGGGACAAGAGGAGCCAGTGGTTTGAGATTCTAGGCAATGGATTATGGCTCGGAACCGAAGTCAGTGGCGCAGATGTATACGCACGTTATCCTCATCTTAACGCTTTACCGAATCTCACAATTTTCTCGTTCTTCCTTTCTCCCTATTCGTACTTTATATTTCTTTTGACTGAATTTTCTTATCTTCATCTTCCACTTCACTGTCTTTTTACTTGATGTACTGAAATGAGCTGTAGCAACTCGGATCGTTACGCACTAATGTCTGGTCCTATGTTGAAAGATGATGATGCTGATTAATCAAGTTATGAATGACTTTTCGAATGTTTATGTTTCTGAAATAACTGACTGTTATAGGGAAGCAATTACTGTGCGCCATTCCGTTTTCTGAGCATTAAATCAGTGGTTTCAATTTTGGTGGATTTTGGCGCATTGTGAACTGGTAACTTAGTCGGATATGTGTGGACGATTCCGAACAAGAGAATGGAAACAAGCGTAATGAGAAACCATTCTTTGTCTTTTTTTTGTACGGAGAAAGTGAAGCGAGACAACAAGCACCAGGTTGATAAATATCACGTCTTGCGTTCAGTTTAGTTGTGACACAAAAGTGTGAGAAAGCGTACGCAAGTACAGTGGTATTCAGATGGTGAGTCACGTAGAAAGTCGGAGTCACATGAGAGTATTAGAGCAATGGTATTTACCAGTGGTGAGTAGTTAATCAATCACGTGAGCCAACTTATACTAGCTCACTTACCCATGTAACAACTTCGATTAGAGTAACCAAATATACTATTAGCTGTTACACTGTGCATGTTATGCAGCTGATTACTAAGAAAAAAGTAGGTTAGCTCCCTAGCGGCGACAGCTACTCAAATAAGCCTCCTGGAAATCAACAATGGATTCTAAATGATAGGTTTTTACAATGCTTTCAGAAGGAAAATGTATAGAAAAAACGAGTTTTAAAATAATGTGTAGGATATCTTAAGGAAGTTGGAATTTTTATGTTCTGAAAGATCCAGGGCTATTAGTTGAATGATAGTCATTATCTTGTTATTGTCTTAATATCATTGGGAGGCAACTGCTAAAACGATGACTAGTTTTTACAGAAAATCATGATTTTTATCAGGATACATTTCATAGTTTGAAACAAAAAAATACTTACCACACCAATTGAAAGAACCGACTTTCGCATTACATCCAGGACAATAAAGCTAAAATTAAAGAACAATACAACAGAGAAAGAAGAATGAATACCGCTCACCCGTGTATTTGAAAATATTCACTTCACAGAACACAAGTAAGTAAAGTAAAGATGACTTGATGTGCAGTGAAGAGGCTTTTTTCAGCGATTTGATTCACAAATTGTGGTTATATGCCACTTTCTTGAGTTACACACAGAAGAGAAACATCAAGCCCAAGACTTAGAGGGATCGCCTCACTTCCGTGCGAAATAGGGCGCTCTATATGAATTTTGAGTTTCATGGTGATGCAGCAGCTGCTGACATTTACCAGAGGGAAGGATTTCAAACTACCAATAAAGAACGTTCTTTAGAGCAGGTTTCAGAGTAGTCATCCCCGTATCGCCATCTATTTTCTAACAATCTAAATAATAAGGCCTCTCCTATGACCACCACATACCGTGTGCCCATACCAGTTTAACTGCTTTTTCAAACTAGGTGTCAGTCGTTCAACGAGACCCCTGTTCAAAAGGATATAAGAACACTATCCTGCGCGGTTAAGAACAGGTGGTACTGGTTTCATAAGAAGTATATTAATTGAATACGTCGTCGACATTGGTTACGCATCCTCGATAACTTCCTATTTCAGTTATCCATAGGGTGAAAAGGGACAGGTCAAAGGCTGTAAGCATTCGCCTCAATTGCATTGCCAAAGTTTTAGCCATTCACGCAAAACATCAAGAGCTTATTTACGGTCTTAATTCTTTTCAACGTTTCAGACTACCCACTTCCTTTACTTCTTTTGTTCTGTTTCCTTCCTGCATAGTGTCAAATCTTGTATCTATGCTCCTCGATAACAATTCACTCTTCAAATATTTTATCATGGTGAGCAAGATTGTCAAAGAACTGGTCACACTTTTTCTAACTGATAATCTTACACAGATGACAACCTATCCTATTTGCTACCATATCCTCTTAACAAAACAAATAATAGAGAAACATTGATCGCGACTGGACAGCTTAGAAGATTAAATCGATGTAAAAAACATCTTCGCTGAATTACTTTTGAGTTTCTTGATGAGCATTATAAACTTTTTCCGTAATAACGTCGCAATTAGAATGTGCTGCAACAATTTCCGATCGACACGGTCAAATGATACGTTTAGGTCAGAAAATATGGGAAGTTTCAGACATCAAAAGGTATAGCTTTGCTACAAAATCCGTTGGAGCGGAGAAGCCTGGTCGACGCATTCTCACCCGGGTTTGGAAACTGTCTGCTTTCCTCGGGTGTTTTGTTTACAAGTTCCAGCTGAAGATCAGACAACTACGGAGCCCAGGATCTTACACACGTTGTCAGTCAAACTGAAACCCGGTCATTGTTACAGGAAAATTATCCTTTCTTATAAATTGGAGTGATAAGTAATTTCAATTAGACTGATGCGACTACCTCTAGTCAGAAGTTCTCCCCCTCTACCTTTCAAAACTTATGGTAACAAACCGTCAGGTCCTGTTGCTTGTAGTGTTTTACATTTGAAACACCTTGTTCAATTTCGGTTGAAGTGATAGAACCAATGCATACATCTTATTCAGTTATGGGTTGGATAGTGAGTAAAGAAAGTTCGGTAGTAGCCTATTTAAACTCTTTGTCATAGTGTGTTCTACTCAACTTTTCTTTCACACTAACTTTGCCTTCTTTGGTAGCACTGCGATTCTATCCACGTGTTCTTTGTGTACTACTGTGAAGTGTGGCAACTTCTGCTAATGCACCTACGTGCGAGGTTCCATGTTGATTTTGTCAATCACTCAGTCAGTTACTTCTCCTTATTTCCTGTGGAAGGAAAGATAAGAACAAATGCAAGTCTGTATGAATGTATAATCACAATTGAAACTGGTACCCCAAAAAGAACAGGAATTATCCATTATTTCTCTTCAAAAATAGAATATGACAATATGATTTGTATGTGTTTATCGTCAAACTTAAGTTTGGTGGATGGATAGAAAAACAACGTCCCCATTCGTGTTTTAAGTTAGAGTTGACCAAGGACAACCGACTGACAAAATCAATGTAGAACTTCGCACACAGGTGCACCAGTTCAAGTTGCCACACTTCACAGTAGTATATAAAGAAAAGATGGATAGAAAAAGACTGATATCAAAGTAGTGTGAGAGAATCAACGATATAAAAATAACGGTTAGTGCGAATATCCAACTTTTAGAAGACGTCAAAGAGAGAATGCATCTGCACCCCTGTGACCAATTCTCAATCATACTAACAAGAGCCCTCAATCACTCATTCCTTTCATCTAGGAGACCCCAACCAGGCAGTCTGAACTTCCTCATACAGATCACACCAACGGTAAGAGATTTTATCGGCTGGTCCCAGGTCTCGGTCTAGCCACACTGAACTCTCTTCCAATCTAATCTGAATTCCCACAGCATGACACGTCGAGACACGCGGTGGATGATCAGCATGCACAGTACATGTCAAGTCTATCTCAGTCGACTAGCATTCACAACCTCAGCAATCGACTCCTCTCTCTTATCTAGTACCCTTCGCCTGACCTTAACATTGATCCCACTAAACGCAAGCAATGCTACAAAGACATCTGTGATCAAAACCCATCAACCGTTTCATGTCTTCTACTTGTAACGACCATGTCTCATAGTCGTGCAACAGGACAGAACCGACGACAGCGCAGTATACTCGTCCTCTGATAGATAGTCGGATATCCCGCCAGTTTGCGACACAGATGATGCAACTTGGAAAGTGCCAAACTGACCTTCTGTATGCTGGCTGAGATGTCGCCAGCAACCAACCCGTTCGGACTGATGCAACTCCTCAAGTAAATGAAGTGGTCGATACATTCCACCACTTCACTCCTTATCATTGAACTGGGAGTACTTGAAGCAGACTAGTCCTGAAGCATCATCTTACATTTGACAGGTTCAAAACGCATCCTAGTCAAACAAGTTCAGATTTCTGCTCAACACGTCCAGAAGATCCTGCATTGCGTCAGCGTCCTCACCCAGCAGGACTACCGTCTGCATACTCTAAGTCAACCAAATGATGTCCAGGGAGTAGGTCAGTCCTCGTGAAGTCACCTGTATCTAAGGTGATATCCATCAGTACGTCTATGACGAAGTTAAATAGGAACGGTGATAATGGAAATCTCTGGCGGACACTAATAGTTGTCATCAATTCATATGACAACTCTCCCTAAGCCCTGACACAGTTGCGTGAGTTCGAGTTGAGAGCTTTGATTAGCGTTATATACTCTCTCGCTACTCCTTCACAGTAAGACACTATAATAATAACTCACGATTGACAGAGTCCCATGCCGTCTTCGGGTGAAGAAATGTGGTAAGCGTCGGCCACTTGTCGGTAGGTATTATAACGAGACACACTCATGCATAACAGGTGGAATTTAAATAAACTAGTCGAGTAGTCTAATAGTTGGTATCTGGAAATAAACCCTAGCAAATGTGTACTTATGAATAGTAATCGTTACCAAGATTAAGTAGCTAGTATACCAACACCTGACGTTTAATAAATTGAATACTTAAGAGTAATTATCAGTTATGACTAGAAGACGTCTGTACACTTTGATGAAGAAGTAGCCAAAGGGTTCTGAGTACTTCGATCTTTTAAATGGTTCGACGAAGACGTTCCGGATATTGTATCCAACCTGTGTGCAATACCATCTCGAGTACTGCATTCAGACGACCAGTCTTTGCCCCATAAAGAAAGCTAAGGCACCGAAGTGCGTTCAAAATCTGAACATATTTAGTGGCTGGTCTGTCTAACCTATTCTGTGGGGACCGATAACAGAGACTAAATCCTTTATAATTTTTTATCGTGTGAGGGATAACCTTATTTTAGCATTCCATGACCGTAACAATGATCTTGGCATCGATATTTTATTTCTTCTCCTCAAGGATCGGATACATCTGAGGCGGCAAGACAAATTCAAAAAGTGATCGAACCAGCCTATCGTGAGTACACACTTCTCACATTGGTCAACGCCTGGAACTTCTTATCTAATCAAGGGGCATCAACTCCTCCGGTGAACACATTCAAACAGAAACCAGGTCTCCACAGAGATCTACTGCAAGGATTAACATAGGCCAGATTGGTTTACTATCCTTACTACTGAGGACTAAATTATGGAAAATTCTACTCCTAAATAATTCAAAGAATGAGAATTAGTAGAACTAAAAGACTGAACTAATAGATTGTTGTATTTATAAGGAACACAACTGTGTTTTAAATAGTCTAATAAATAAAACTGTTTCATTGCCTTCATGGATAACTATAGTGAACAGCGTGAAGAACATCCGGATTTTCAGCATCAACGTCAAGTCAGTGCTTCTATATGGTTCAGAAACCTGGAGGGTTACGAAAAGCATTTCCAACAAACTACAGACATTCATCAACAGCTGCCGCATACGCTCACCCGATACTGAAGATCAGATAGCCAGAAAGAATAAGTAACAAGGAACTCTGGCTGCCTGGCAACGAACCAACCAAGAACTTATCGCCCAACAAATATGCAGAAGAAAGTGGAGATGGATGGAATATACACTGAGAATACCATTTGGGGGCAGTACGCGCCAGGTCAGGCCCTCGAGTGGAACCCAAAGGAGAAATAACGAGCTAGGCTTCCAAGAGTGACATGGAGGAGATCGTGTGAAGAAGAAATGAGAGGTTATGGGCAGTCGTGGGGCCAGGCTAAAGAAAAAGAATGCAGAGAAGAGAGTGAAATGGAGACGTGCTACTGAAGCCCTATTTTCCACTAGGAACCCAACGGACAAATAATAATAACAATAATAACGGCTCACGATCGGGAGCCGCATGCCGTTTTCGGGTGAAGAAATGTGGTGTTCACCACCGGCCGGTGGGTATCCCTATGTTCCTGTCCACCTTAATTAGCGATTTCCTACCTCCATCCCTGAAAACTTCGGGTGGCAAACTTTTGAGTCCTGTTGCTTTGCATCGTTTCAGGTTCGCTACAGCCTTCTCAACTTCAACTAGGGTTGGAAGACCGAAATTTACGTCCCATTCATATTGAGTCTGAATGTTGGGTTATCAGCATCCCACCCTTTTCGGTGATAGTTTCACCAACTATCGTCTTCTTAATAAGCCTAAATAGTTCCTAAGTGTTACCCAACGCTTATGCTTTCTCTATCTCTCCCGCCTTCGTCACTCGCCACTGCTCATAGTCATTGTGAAGACTCATGGTCAATTTATGCTTGAGTTGCTGAGTCAGCTAGAATACGTTTTTTCGCATCACCTAGTCTCATAATCCTTCCTAGTCCTTACAGATCCATTCACTTGAACAGCACACCTGTTTACTTGTATCTGGTTAAGAATCATACTCTGCTTTACAACTCAATACTAAGCCTACACCAGCGAGTTTGCGAGAGCTAGCCATTGGGTCTCCGCATACTCGGAAGATGAGTTCTGAAGACTAACCACTACCACCAAGTCACTTTAATAACCATACTCGGGTCCTGTACACATATCTGGGAGATAGCATATATCCATGGCTAGAGATTCTAGAGTTTTGGCGAGTGATGCTTGCTGTTCGATTTAACATTGGTTTTGGACGTTGGAAACCCTAAAATGAAATCGATGATGGGTTCTTAGAAGACTACGAACAAGGTTTCGATCGTACTGATCGTTGACAATGGTTGCAGAGTGAGAGGTAGAATAAGGCGCAAGGGCCCTCATATTAATACCAGGAGGAGACAGAAGTGAAGAGGATATTGTTTGATTGGGTCTTATGTACTACTAGGAGCGTGTGAGCGGTTGACACTTCCCGGCTCCCCACACCGTGGAAAGCTAGTTCTTGGGCTCCCTGGAAGAGAAAAAGATTTGTCTGACTACAGAGCTCATCGGACATCTGCTAGAGGCCTGTCGCATGCGGCCTTTTGCGGGACGTTGTTTTGAGGTTTGGTTGTTCGAACATAAGATAAGCAGAACTCAAACCACCGGCTCCGGAAGACAATAGGGCAGATGGAGTGCACTATTTTCGGGGCTGACCTTTCCTAACTTGCTCTTTTCCATAGAGAGGACAGCATCAGCATGGCACTGCTGATCATCAAAGGGAAACACCCGAGTGCTGTCATGTGTCCTCCTTGCTTGCAACAGTACAACTTTGCCCTCAGACTCCCATCGTAATGTAGTAATTTACACTAGAACTGTAACTGCTTTTCGCCTTACCACTACCCAATAGACCTTCCTGGCATAGTAGAACCTCGTGGGAACTAGCATTCCAGCCAGTGTAGCTCGTTAGGTCATTGTGATATGTAAACCCGACCACCAAGTCAAGGTAGCAGCTATCCATCGGAACCAGGGACAAGTATTTAGTAAAACTGTCGATTTCGGTTTGGCAACACGAAATTCAGTAGATAACACGAAGTTATTATTTTACGTTTGTACTAAGAGAAAAACCCATACAACCAACACTTGGTATCTGTGGGATAGGATAGAATGCGTCACTTGCACGACAAAAACAGGGTAACCTCTCCTTCCGGTAAGGCAGTATCAGTAAGGAATTCCGCTTATTCACGAGAAACACTTTATGCTACCCATACGCCGTAAAACCAGCAGTAGAATATCGCCCTCAAACCTCAACCAGAACACTCGGTATTAACAATATAATGATAACTGCTTCTAGTTTTACCATCATCCGACAGATCTTGCTGGCATGGTATGACCTTGGGGAACAATCATTCCAGTCAGTAAAGGTCGTTCGGTCATTCACTTAGGCAAACACATTCCAAAGTAGGAGTTTTCTGCATTCCTTACCAAGATACTCCAAATAAGCACTTGGAAAACCAGATTACTTTCATCAAATGATGTCAAATATTGTGTAGTGTGTAGTGGCTACAGGTTGTCATAATGGCCTGTAGTTTTTCGAAACAACCAGTTACTATGGTAAGTACAATAACTATACTTACTATCAGAGATTAATGGAAAACTTGAGCAGAAATCAAGGGAGAAAACTCAACTAATACATCATATCACAACATGCTTTGCCCTACCAACTAACTATGCAGTTAAATCTTTTCAGAAATATCAAACAATATATACCAAGCTTAACACTTCACAATTTACCTTCCCTTCTACATCACTAGTAAACTGTTGAGTCCATTCTAGCGGATCACAGAATAATTCATCTTTATCACACTGCACAGGTGAATCATTCAATGAAACACCTTTAATTAAAACACTGGACACCTTTGTATCTTCTTTGTTATCTAAAAGTAGATTAGGCGATTTCTCAGGTTTTTGATGAGCGCGTAGCTGATTTGAGTTGAACAACACTCGCCTGTAAGATGAATGATGAAAATTAGTGGGAAAAGCAAATAGATAAAATAATAAAAACAGCTACAACCTGCATTTTCTACATTTAAAAGTTGAAGATGTAAACGGTTGGTACTGTACTGTTGGATTGCATACACTAACACCATTAAGATCTGTTGGGGAAAAAAATCAAAGGATCGGGGGAAGAGAGATGATATATGCGTTCAAATGAGTCAAACCTGAGAAACTGGAAAATTTTCTTTTCATCGTGTACTGGTAGAATAAAGGTGAATTGTGATCTACAGTCCATTTCATAGCGTGAAACAGCTTTAGTTGATTAATAAATCCATTATTAGGACTAAAAGGGAAAATAAAATTATCCATTTAATTAATATTCACTGCAACCTTCAAAACCTACAAAACGCTTCGTTTCCGTGACACAATAGCATAGGCGTCTTCATAGGATAAATAATTTTGCCGCATAAGATAGGCAATGACAACACTGGCACTACGCGATACTCCCATGGCACTATACACATATTTAGGAAGAGAAAATTATATTAAAGATAGAAGGTTAAACAATTCTGAGCTATTTTTCTCACCAATGCACGAGAATATTTGACTTTTTTAAACTTTCTTCAATAAATTTTAAAGCATCTTCAAGAATTTCTAATAAATCCTGAGATGGTTCATCACGAAGATATAAGAATTTTGTATTAAATTGTTGAAAGACATCAGAATCCAAAGGTAAAATGTCTAGAGTCAAAATCGACAATATTCCATTCTTTTTTAAGACAGGAATGTTTTCTGAAAATGGCACAGGTCCAAGCCATACACCCGGGATAATTTCATCCATATTGATCACCACTAAAAATATGCGATGTAACAGAAAATTTACAGTTTCATAACCTGTATAAAATGAATGTTAGAATGAACAGGAAATTTGTATTATTGAAAATAAAAAAATATTTAGCACAACCTACGTTCAATGGATTCTTTTAAAAATGCAGATTGCATGCAACAAGAATAAGGAAAGATGCTTTTCTTGCCGTTGTTTGCATAGACATTACCAGTCGGTCAATATTAACACGGAACCTGATAATACTGCACACAGAACCAGGTTTTCACACCTACTAACAGCCTATCAGGACAAAAGGCATCAAGATGATAGAGATAAGTGGGAAAATGGGTGGGATTATAGGATTTCCTTGTTCTTGATAAACTCAGGAACGGTGTGTTGAATACACCAATACGGAAATGGCTGCAACATTTCTTAGCTTCTAATACTAAGATGAAAGGAAATAACAGTAGATAGATTTTTAACGATGATTAGTAACCTGAGTTATTGCTTGTTTCTTACTCCTTAAATTAAAAGTACGTACGATGAAGATATTTATCCATGTGATGTCATGACACTAAATCACCTGAACTGTGATATGGACGTAAAAAAGCCTTTAAACGAAACGAAACATACTCAACGACCTTGTTTATGTTCACACAGTAGGCAATGAGTTACACCTGTTGCGTAATGGGTAGTGATACTACCTGGCTGCTCAAACCTCGGTAGGTGGAGTCGTATTCGGACTTGTGACCCAGTGGTTGAAAGTTAACCGCTAAAACCAATAAGCTTCACAACCTCAACAACCTCTCTAAATTACTTGCATGAATCTTTGAAGAAGGACTTACAACTTACAACCCCATCCGTCCTAATACATGAATACTCTAAGAAACGTGGAGTAAAATCTAAATCATTTATGAGCCAATTTTCAGTAACACCCACCACATCAGAACCTAGTTCATGGAATCAAGTCTCCAGCTTCGACATTTTATTCTTATTGCTGCGGACATTGGTGCAGAATACGTTTAAAGTGCCTGAAATATCATTGAACAAACAACACCCACGCAGATGTTGGAGGTGCATTCGTTTCAAAGGTCTCGCAACCCGAAAATCCATAATTCTAAGGTGATATTCTCCTTCTTCTTGTTAAGCTTTTCCTTGAGCTAATGCTCTACTCCTTTTTCATCCGATCCCAGAGAAATCAGTCCCCGAAACCAACTAGTTTCGAGATATGTACTCCAGATGTTTCTTTTAAAACATGTCAGATGGTCAACTCGACCAGGTTCAGGAAATGTATGTGAGTTTTAAAAGGTGTATATCCACAAACTCTTCAACATTACAGAATATTATACTCAAGATTGAGGGAACTTCCATGTATCTCCTGTTAATGACCGTCGAAGCTTTCTCGAAAAGTTTCATCATCTTAGTAATTTCGGTGTGAACCTTTGAAAGCTTATTCCAATTTCTACTAGGGAAAATCTAGTCAGATCCATTGTTCTCCTCAGTAGATTCAATATCGTTTGCAAAGATAGAGATAGTCTTTCTACGACTTGGTGTGCCAGCCACCTATGGTTCCTCCTTAAGTTGAATACGTCTCAAAACCGGTGTTACGGCGTCACTCACTAAGACTTTTCCACGCCGACAACCAATCTTTAAAAACCCCTGGGACGGTGGGCGTAGCACTTCGAAGAGCAGTTTAGCTGGTCTACTGCTTCAGCATCTTAAGTTTTAGTGTGCCGTGCTCCATGGTCAACTAACACTGATCCACCTAACGAAGAGGAGGTTCATATGGAACTCTAAGTTCTGAAACGCCATACGGCACGCGGCCCAGACAACTTACCCCAGGCTCTTTCAAAGATGGACGAACGACTATAGTCAGGGAACTGACTAGATTGTTTCAGAAGGTACGGCAGACTAAGAGTTTTCCATCACTCTGGAATGAAGCCATCAATGTGCCTATTTTTAAAAAGCGCATACGCAATGAATGTGACAATTATCGGCGTATTAGTCTATTTACCAGTAGCATCGAAAATATTGGCTTCCATTATGCTTTGCACTTTGCAAAACACATGAGGAAATGATTCGCAAGAAGCCGTGTTTCGTTCAAGTAGTGGATGCACTGGTCATGTGTCTACCCTCCCCAAATGCTTGAACATCGCCACATACATTGCAGGCCAACAATCATTGTGTTTCTTGACATTAACGCTGCCTTCAATTCGTTGGACAGAGCTGTACTCTGAAATTATCTTTCGGAGAGCAGCGTATCTGAGAAACTTATTAACATTTTGAAATCCTTATATAACACTTCAGGTAGGGTAAAGCCATGCAACCACCTGTCTCCATTGTTTCAAACCAGCAGTATGGTTAGGCAGGATTGACCGATTTCCCCAGTCCTCTTTAGCTTTGCCATCAATGACACTCTCGAGACAGCTCTGAAGGAGGTACGTGATGGTGGTATAGATCTACTACCCGGAGAACGACTATTCGACCTTGAATATGAGGAAAATATCGTCTCACTGTGCGATAACATACACATACACCAAATTACACTTAGTCAGCTGGCGATTAGTGTCCGCAAGCATGGTATGTGCTTTGCACCATCGAAGTGTAAAGTACTTTCGCAAGATTGGAAGGAGCCTGTGCCTGCGCTCTCTCGGTGGTGAGCCGCTGGAAGTAGTCGAAAAGTTCGTATATCTGCGTAGTTGTGTGAGTGCTGGTGGATGTGTGAGGGGGGAAATTTCTAACCGCACATCAAAAGCCAGAGTAGCATTCACCAATCAATCTGGCCCACCTTTGGGGACGTCACGACGTCAGTCTGATTGTAGAAGGTTGGGTTTACAACACTTCGGTGCCAGCAATTCCGCTACACGCCTGTGAAACCTAGCATTCCTAGGTGACGGTGTGCGACGACTTTGTGTTCGGTCGTCGTTGTCTATGTAGGATTTATGGTGGCAACGCCATGCAATTAATTCTGAGTTACGACAGCGTGTGTTTGGGCATGATGGAGCTCGTCATTCAATGTGTGAAGTCATCTGGAAAAACCAGCTTCAGTGACTTGGATATGTGTTACGCATGTCGTACAAAGGCTTCCATACCGTTCACTATTTGTTAGCTCTGGGACTGGATGAAGGAAGCGGAGAGGTGGTCAGTGGTCAGACATGGTGCCATGAGATGAAGGAAAGTTGCATCGCGTTAGCATCTGTTGGTACATCAGGACTCCCAGGGTGGGGTCCTAGAGATACCGCAACTCAGTGCCTTGAGACGTCAGATATGGCTCACAATCGAGACCAGTGGCGGTCATGCTGTAGCTTCTTCTGCTGCTGAACGTATCTCGTTGGAGTGCCTATATAGTCATTTCATTCTTATAGCTTTTTTCCCCTTCTTTCTCCGATTCTATTCGTTTTAGGTTCTCATGTTGTCATATTATTTTGTGGCATATATCTTGGTGCCCTCTTGATGTACCGCGTTTGTGTTCTAATAATAGTAGAAATAAATAATCTTTGCAGAAAAATATTCAAAAACGCTTGCTGCATCCTCATCCAACCCCGCACTTGGTTCAACGATAGTTATCAACCTCAACACGGGAGTCATTTTCACCAACCTCACTTCGAAAACTTTGCGTAAGAGTAGACACAGGTTTACATTAAAATTTGCACAACCAGGAAGAAGCTGCTTTGCTGCAACGCTAATACGCAGATGTCAAGCCTGCGTACACTTTGTGGAATCAACATCCATATGCATCACACTGCATACCTTCGTTAGTCAGAAAGTAGCAGTCAATTCGAGCACAAACATGTATATCATTTCATTCTTAAGGCAATGAGAAGTTCAAACTGGAATTAGTATCCACGTTTAACCTCTGCAGACAAAACTAAAGATCCACATACGACAGGAATCTTTATAACAAGAGTTTCTTACAAAAATGGTTGAAAAACTGTACTCCAACTAATAATACTCCGTAAACCAAGAGGGCTTTACTTACTACAATGTGGTGAAACACAACCCTTTCCAAAACATTTACAAACAGCAACCTAAAAATTCCAAAAAATGATAAAATCTTAAACACTAACTAGGTTACTTCAAGTCAAAGTTTACTAAATAGCTTTTGATGGGGCCTAAACAGCAAAAGCCTAATTTGTCAAAGCGTGAAAAAAGTCACTCCCTGTTTACAAAGCGGAAGAAATGTTTAAATTTAACAAAACAATGAAAAGAAGCTTGAAATAGCCCTTGAAATGATAGAAAGATAGTAATCGCTAAGTCAAATAAAGACAAATAGACAGTAATGCTAAACAAATCCGATTACATTGAAAGAATTAATGATCACATCCAAACAGAACCGTATGAAGATGCGGTAGTCATCTACACTAATCTGACAATTAAAATGGCTCTTGAAGCAGTCAGAAGTGAACTCAATACTAACCAACAACTCATACCTGAAACTAAGGTGCCGGTGAAAGCAAATATCTTGGGAATGCGATTACGCCTGACTTCAATTGTCCTGAAGTTCCAGGATAAAATATATAAACAAACTTCAGGAGTATTCATGGGATTACAGATATGCTAGGTTTTAGCAGATATGTTTATAGATAAGTTAGGAATGCATTGGTTTAGAGATATTTAAGCCTGCTCCCTAAGTATGTAGGTGATATGTGGATCACTGTTGAAATCACATATCGATACATTACCTATGCATACGCTTATTAGTTGACGCAATCAAATTCATACATGAACTACAAAAATGGTAAGGGAAAGCTAGGTATGTTGGATTGCAAAATCAAACGAAGACAAGACGAAGATTCACATAATAGTGTTCGCAAAAAGACTTCGGACTCTTATCGATACTTAGACTTCAGGTCATCAATCAAGACAGTTTTAGTCGAATGCTCAAGTAACAGGGCGTGAAAACTGAGTAGTCAAGTAGGGAACTTTTATCAGAGAATGAAAAATGAAGGCGTTATTACTCAACTACTATCCCCATGAGTTTGTCCAGAGGCGCATAAGGAGCAGTAGGGGAAATA